AATTTGTATATCTTAGGTATTGTTCAAAAAACCTTTAATTCCCTTTATTTTGGTAAATGATTGATGGGTGTAATATGGGTTATAGAGTATACAGCTTGGCCTTACTCAAGATGTGCATCTTTCAAAAATGTGCTAGCTCCGCTTGCTCCATTTTAACTTCCCGAACTTAAGAGGTAAATTGTAAAAAAAAAAAAAGAAAAAAAAGAGCCGATAATATTTTTTTTAGTGTGTGTGCGTGCTTTTTATTTTGTTTTGTTTTACATTTTATGTATTAGGTAATTCATTCATTGCACTTTTAGAAGCTGGTATTGTCTAGTTTGGAAAAATTAATTTTCCCTATTTTAATAGCTGCCAAGGATAGTGTACTTTAGACAAATTTAGGTTGATTTTTTGGAGCACAAGGGAGCAGTCATTTTAGTTAGCAGTGTGCTAAGATCATTTAAAATTTCAAAAAGTACAATATCCAAAGAAATTTCAGCCAGATTACATGAAAGTAGCATATATGTATGCCAACATTCTTTCCACTGTGCATGTTTAAAATTCAAACAACATTACCTTACATACATCAGTCTCTCAAAAGTACATAATAACTGGTGAGTTCCACCTAAATTTAAATAAATAATAATTTAAAAAATCCCGGTTTTCCTCGCCGACTGGTCAAAATGATTATTTAAAAACATATATCTTAGGTATTGATTTAAAACTTGTAAAACCTTTATTTCGAATAGTGATTGATGGGTGTAATTTGGGTTATAGAGTATACAGCTTGGCCTTACCTCAGAGGCGCCCTACAGTTATTATGAACTTCTGAGAGAGTGGCTCGTGTAAGCTGAAGTTGTTTACATAACAATGTTGGTATAACTCTAATTTAATTTCATTCACTGCGGTTAAAATTTATTGGATATTGTACTTGTGGAAACTATATAGTATGATGCTTAAGCATACCGGTATATCAATGACTGCTTCATTGTGCTACGAAAATTAGCCTCATTTAGTCTAAAGTTGATTAATTTGAGCAGATATTAAAATAATTTTTGTAAGATTAAACAATACTAGCTTTTAAAAGCGCAATGAATGGATTACCAAATATATTAAATGCAGAAGGGTGAGTTTTTTCTTTGTTTTTCTTTTTTAAATATACCTCTAAAGTCCAAGAATTTTTTTTAGAAGTAAGGCCATGCTCTGTTCTCTATAACCCATATTAACCTATTAATCATACACCAAAATAAAGAGAATTAAAAGTTCTTTTAACAGTACCAAAGACCCAAATAGTCTCTTTTTAAATAGCCTATATATTCAGTGAGGAACACAGGGAAGATTATTTTTCTTTACAAATCTAACTGTGAAAAAATAAGAAACTGTTGAGCGCCATCTTAAAACAAAAATGCAAAATTTTGCAAATATCGTTCTTGTTTTCATATCACTATGTATAATCTTCTCAACAAAACAGTACATTACAACAATGATGTTATGCAAGTTTCATGTTTCTGTCTTTCAGCATAATATTGGTTGCTATGTTGAGAATACGTAATGTACATTTTAAAAATATACCACTTTTCAAAGGGAGAGGGGGAGCTGAGCTTGTGTGGGACTTTGCTGCATAATTAATATTATACAGGGGTAATGAAAATATTCAAAAGGACTCTTTTAATGCTTGCGACCTAAACGTTTCTGCAATAGAATCAAAATAAAATCATACAATATTAATGCCTGGTGTTCTTTGTGGGGGCTCTATACAGATATGTATTTTTGATAGAGTTATTATGATAGGAAAGTCTAAAGTTGTTGTTTTAGACGTTTTCTATCATAACCTTCTTCTCGTGTCTAGTTACGAGAAGGTAGAAAGTTCAGCATTCATAAGAATAAGGTGTCACTTATGATGGTGTAGATACGGTTACATCTTTTTGTGGGGAATGCTTTGGCTACGAGAAGGTACCAAGAATCTGTAAGAAATAGACATGATACTCTTTTGAGCCTGGAAACGTACTGAGAATAAAGCAGCTCAAAGCCTTTTTTATATTCTGGAAGCTGCCTGATCACGAGTGCTTCATCCAGTCTCAAAAGATGTTTGTCTAAAAATCACGCGTGCTTCTTGCGTGCTAGCCAAGGACAGATTTAACTTTATATCAAGTTTTTTTTTTGGGGGGGGGAGATAGAGTGTGAGTGTGTGGATGGTATTTTTCCGAAGTAATGACCTTTTGGATCATACATTGTCCATAACCTTCCATTAGCAAGTGGACATTCACATCGTGAACTTAATTAATTTAATTAATTCCCTAGGGTGCTTATCAATTACTTTGTTCCCAACATCACAACGCAATTTAATAAGGTTTTATTGATTGAATGGTGAGATAAAACATTATTCGGCTTCTATCCGATGGTAAACTATTGAACTGGCTTATTAATTAGGCTTTTTCCATTACCAAGTGAAAGCTGAACAATAATAAATGCTTAATCTAAATTCATTTCAATGTCCTTATTATATTCAGGATATGAATTATTGATTGGACCACGCTTCTCCTACACTCCAAATCAATATCAAAGCACTATCTTAAATTTGGATGTTTTTGTCTTCCAATAACTAGAGATTTCAATATGTTGTTCACAAATTAATATTTTCGTTTCTTTCTTTTAGAATTGATATCTTGATATAGTGGCTGATGTAAGGTGAAGTACTTTGCATTTGCAACATGCGCAATGGAGAGAATGTTGGCCTACCTCTATGTTACTTTCAGGTATTGTGGCTGAATTTTAGTTGGATATTGTACTTGTGGAAATTGTCCAAGCACACATCTATCTAAAGTGGCTGCTTCCTTGTGCTAAAATAAATTAGCCTGAATTAGTCAAAAGTACACTGTCTTTAGCAGTTATTGAAATTAATTTCACCAGACTAGACAATACCGACTTCTGAAAGTGCAATGAATAAATTACAACATATAAAAAAAACGTTAAAAAAAGTTATCAACTTCTTTTTTTACATTTTACTTCTGACATTAAGTACGTAAAAATGACCATGAGGGGTTAGCAATTTTTATATGAGCAGATCTGAATTTGGGCAAATATCTATACTCTATAACCTATATTACACCTACGAACCATTCCCCAAATTAAAAGAACTTAAAAAGTTCTTTAAACAATACCTAAAACATGCGAAATCTTCTTAAATGGCGAGTATAACCTGAGACGGAAACCAGGAGATTCGTTTTCTTTGAAAATCTGAACTTATGCAAAACAAGAAGCTATAGAGTGCCACCATAACAGAATGCAATGCGAAAAACATATGATGCAGGGAACCAGACTAGGACTGACAGTGAAGCTACTAATGACCCCCCACCCCCGGAAAAACCAAACAAACAAGTAACCAGCAGTTCAATCATTCGTAAATTTTTTGTTATCCAGGGTTTGTAAATAGTAGTCGCAATGGCAGCTCTCGACCTACATTTGAGCTACGTTCCGTAGGATTGGACACACACACACACACACACACACACACACACACACACACACACACACACACACACTTTGGTAACCAAACAGTTATCCAGCGTATCATGCTAACCATTCTCTTTGTCAGGAGAAGAAACAAATGTTACATTCATAAACCAAACACCAACCACAAAAGTAAATTGAAAACGTGGAATCATTGTTTATATGACATTGCGACGGGTTTTTTCAAACAAGAGGTACATAAAAGTAAAATGGAAGATGAAATAACTGAAACACTGTCAAAAAATCAGAAAAAACTACATGTATATTTTTTGTTGTCAGATCAACAAATTATTTTGTAAGTCAGAGATGGGATGAGATTGTAATTATGCTTTTAGTGTACAGAGAACCATATTGTTTTGACCAAACTTCAGGCTGTGGACAAAGGATGGGAACAGAGCGTTGCGAAGATCAATGCCATCTAAGACAAATACTTCAGTATGTGTTATAGCTATTATATCCCGGTAAAGTTATGCAAGGAGAACTTAGAAAAACAAATGTGTCACGATAATATTGTACCGGAATGCTGAGAAATGTCTACTACTACTACTACTACTACGACTACTACTACTACTACTACTACTACTATTACTACTACTCCTCTTATTATTATTATTGTTATTATTATTATTATTATTATTATTATTATTATTATTATTATTATTATTATTATTATTATTATTGTTTATTATTATTATTGTTATTATTATTATTATTATTATTGTTTATTATTATTATTGTTATTATTGTTATTATTATTATTATTATTATTATTATTATTATTATTATTATTATTATTATTATTATTATTTCACGTAAATAGTCAAGGAATATTTCCTTGGATAAATATTGTCACCAGGATTGCCATACCCGACTGGAAGTTTGATCAGATTTATTGAGAAGATGAGATATTATTTATGAGTTTTTAAATGCAGTAGGCCTATACAACATCGTTCCATACGTGTACTTTCTATATCGGTCCACTACAGGTTAGATTTAGTCGATAGCATGGATGATGTTGAATGTCCAGTTGAGTGTGTGGAGAGTTATTTCTTTATTTTGTTGCGAAATGTGGCACTTATAGTCATTCATTCATTTTCTTAAATCAACGGTTTCATGTCAGAAGATAGATTACATATTTGGTTCATCACCCAAAACTCAAATTGAATGTAAAGCTATCTCCTGTCGCCAAACTTTGGAACGATTTGGTTTTCGGCCATCGTTAGCAAATTAGCGTGCGCTTGTCTTTTCATCTGCATGTATCTGAATCGGTGATCTTGTCTGATATTACATTGTTACTTACCCTCCTGAGGTATTTAAGTTGACAATATGTAACCAAGAACACTACTTGAAATATGCCCTTCAAAACTGATGCTTCAGAATATTCCATTGTAATATTGGGCATTGTCGTGGAAATCAACCGCGAAGGGGATAATTTTAATATTTGAATAGAGTTTTCGAAGAGTCAAGATTTATTTATAGCCTTGCCACTGGATTCTGTTATGCATCATGATGACCCCTTCAGTGGCCCAAGTGGTTAGAGCATCCGCCTCTGATGCGGGAGGTCTCGGATTCGAAGCCCAGTCGAGTTATACCAAAAACGTATAAATAGGGTACTGGGAACTGCCTCATGTGAATCTCATCATTAAGATGCTAGTTTCAGGATAATGTAGCTGGGTGGGACACTATGATACATGTCTGTGGCATGATGCTCCAAGTCTTGACATTACTATAAATAGGCATTCTGCAGGCATCGTAGCTATATGACTGAAAACTTGTTAAAGCTACATTAAAAAAATCCCCAAAACATCCAAATCATTTTATTATAAGGTTCCCCCTGAGCTCTAAGAATCCATTGTCAAGTAACCTGCTTAGTGTATATGCGTTACACTCGGTTGGTGAGGTTCAGTTGATTTGACAAATTATTGTAATTACTCCTTCTTTCGTCTTTTCGATCACTTTCCCATGCATAAAGATATTGTTAAAAATTCTAATATAAGTAATAGTCCGATATTTTTGGTCGACCTCCAACGATGATCCATATGATCCCGATTTGTTCTTTTACTGAGGAAATTTTTTATAGCTATGGTGATTTCCTCGAGGTTGTGAAATTATCCCAGTTTATGTCTCATTCTACTCTTATATCAATAAATTTAATGTCTTTATAATATTCGTATAATATTCGTCTATTTCTTGATATGGTATACGTTTTTTGTAAACATTAAAAAGTGATTGATGCGTGGTCCGATATTTCTTTCATCTCTATTTATCTACCTACTAGAGATTGAAACCCCTCCCACCCATCATTACACTTTCCATATAATATTGAATGTAATATTTTATTGCCGTTTTCTGTTGCTGGGGTCAGGGCGTCTTCGTGCGTATGTATACTTACAAATTATGCTGAATTATCTTCTCTTGGTGTTCTCTGACTGAAACACCTTCCATCAGTTAGCACAGGTTGCTCTACAAGAGCAGGATAATGTTTTCTTTATCACCTATCCTCCAAGAGCCCAAACAGCTTTATGACCATTTTGTGCTTTTCGATCGTCTCCTAAAATTACCCTGACAAAACTTTGTATTCGACTCGGCAAAATAAAAGTCTTCTGACTAGGTGTGGCTCTGAAGCACTGATCCTTTATTTCCATCACTTTTGCAAATGCATCAACCTGCAATGTCCTTCATGATGATCTACCGCTTTAAGATTCTTTCCAGGATGGCTACATTGTTGACATTTTCCTCTCTGGCCTTGATCGAAGTTTCCCGCCACTCTAGTGTTAAGGCGAGCCATCGCTAGACCCTCCATTTTTAATTTTAATTTTTATTATTTTGTTCTTGTTTGTTTGTTTTTGTTTTATAAACTTTAACCAACCAGTTAGGATCCCACACTACATAAAGGTAGCATACCACAGCAGATACTGGATAAGCGATCTCCATATTTTGGTGGGGTGGGGTGGGGTTATTCTAGTAAGAACCCCATGACTTTGTCACATGCGTTATTGTAACCATTCGTCAATTTTGTCACTTTACCGGGTCAAATTAGTCTTTCAAAAACCACTCACCCGTGTGCTTTTCGTTAAGAAACGTAACTACTAGCAGCGCTGGCATCAGTCGCCTTAATGTTTAACATTAAGCTCTCGACACGCATGTCATAGCCTTGCATGAGGTCCACAACAGATCGTCTAGTTCAATACGGAATGTAATAAATACAAGATCAGCGTCAACCCTCGTAATCTCATTATGTTAGCTTCGCGGAATCTGCGAAACAAATTTTGGTCTAAAGATTTAGATATGGCGCTGTCTTAGCAAGATAGATCATGGTTTCTGGCTCTTGCACGTCAATAGCTCTAAGATGAATAAACTCTGTTGTTACCATACCTCATATAATTACTTTAGTTTTGAACTTTTCACTCTCCTCGATTAATTTTGTTTGCCGGTCAAGTTTTTCCTCCAGCTCTAGTAAAGTCTTCTTGCTCGAAGGGAATGGCGGTCAATCTCCGACGAGACCTTCATATTCTTCACGTGCTTTCATTGCTCTTTCGTAGTTTGACATACGTCCATGCGACATGATTATCAATGCATATATTTAAACCGAGGTATTCTTCTAAATATATAAGTTACCAGCATTAAATCGTCTTCTATTATTTTCAATACGGCCAGTTAAAATCCATTCCTGTGTATCAACCCTGATCCATATGTTGATATAATGTTGAAATAAAAATAGTGTCTTTTTTCTTGACTGTTATTTAAGTCGCCAGGTGGGAATTGATTGGCATGGGGATATGGTTGGGAGTGTGGGTTAAGTACAGGTGTCTCAAAGATCCGGCCTGCTAAGCCATATCCTGTAGCCCGCAAAATGATTGGGGTCACAAGGCGTCATGAAAGATAACAAAAGGTGGTGCGAACCTTGGACCATCGAAAATGCCCTCATGCGGAACTCTGGGTGGTTTGAATTTCAGACCCTTGGTTTAACTAATGAGCCCCTTGCTGCTGAGACACACAACATCGTTTTGATGTTTGCTTTTTAATTAATTTTACCAAGAGACTTTGATTACTTGTGTTGAGGAATAAGAGTAAAGTTGCTTGCCTAATTAACAAAACATGGCGGTTGACCGGAATTGACAACGAATTCAGTCATATTGCTCCGGCATAAGAATAGCGCACGATAAACACTAACATACTGCGCACGATATTAAGGATCTGATTTTTTTTTTCAGGCGAATGCAACTATGAAAAATTCTGACTTTCCTTTAACCGAATAATCGTGTATGATCTTAAATACTTTAATAGAACATATAAATATGGCACGTTTTTCGTCTCCTTCACGATAACAAAAATTTAAGAAATGTACAATGAATGCTCGTTATATTATCGTATCTCTACACAAGATAGTAATAAAAATAGTAAAAGATAGTACAAGGTGTGCTAGTTGTCTTCTTGTACTGTTACGTGTTGACTAGTATAAAAGTAACAAAAGAAAGGAGTGAAGCCAACAAGCTTTGTAAATTTAAAAAAAATAATTTATTTCCTTTAAAAACAATCTAAAAATATGAAAAAGGACTACGATTGTGAAAATAATACAAAAATTGAAATATAAATCCCATCACTAAACAGTTCTAATTGAATCCGGGTTTGAATCTCCATGAAATTACAATATGGAGGCGATGACGTTAGGTGATGGCTGTACTGAAGGTAAAAAAAAATCATAGTTTGTTTCCATACAGAATTCCATAATAAATTTCCACTGAATTTCCTTGTCCCAGACGTTTTTACAAAAAGTACATATGTTTAGTCTTCTAGGGAATAAAGTATTAAATAGAAAAATAGATGAACTTTAAACAATCTGACAACAACAGAAACACATTGTTCCCTCCTCAGGGTCTTAATAACGACTAACTAGATTTCACAAAGCACAAGTATTTAACACAACTTAAAACGAAAACAAGGTTGAAATTCACATCAAATAACTCAGAGAGTTATAACCAACCGTTTTCATTGTCGGAATTTATGGAATCCTTGAATTAAGGCCCATGATACATCAACTGGATCTGACGATATACATTACCAGTTTTTGAAACACCTTCCAGAACCATCCTTGACAGTTTTTCTGGAAATCTTCAATGATTTATGGATTACTGGTAATGTCCCAAATATTTGGAAAGAAGCAACAGTAATACCAATTCCCAAACCAGGCAAAGATAGCGCAGATCTTACCAAGTATAGACCTATATTTTAAATAGCTGCGTATGCAAAACAGTGGAACGAATGATCAATTCTCGTCTTGTATGGTATTTGGAAAGCAACAATTTAATATATCCTTTCCAAAGTGGCCTTCGTTATGGTCGTAGTACCAATGATCATCTGGTTAGACTAGAAACATTTATTCGCGACGCTTTCATTGATTTGGAAAAGGCCTATGACACAACATGGAAGTACGGAATACTAAATCACCTGCACGATCTGGGTCGAAAAGGCCAACTGCCCTCTTTCATATCAAACTTCCACTTAGACATAGACAGGGAATTCAATGTACAAGTAAAATCCACCCTCTCTGATATGCACAATCAAGAGACGGGTGTGCCCCAGGGCAGTATTTATCGGTGACGCTTTTCAACATAAAAATTAATAGCATCACCAAGTGTCACCAAGTGTCTGACGCCAGGTGTGGATTGCTCCCTATATGTTGATGACTTTTTAATATGTTACCGATCCAAGCACATGCATAAAATCGAAAAACAATTACAACAAAATATCAACAAGATTCAAATTTGGACCAATACAAACGGCTTCAAATTCTTGAAATCAAAAACTGTCTGTATGCCTTTCTGTCAGTTACGAAGAGATCATGATGGACCTAAACTCACGCTGGACCGAACACCTACTCCAGTTGTTGAGGAAACAAAATTTTTAGGTATTATCTTTGATAGAAAACATTGTTTTATTAAATAAATCAAACATTTAAAAGCTAAATGTTTGAAGTCTCTTGATTTACTTAAAGTAATAGCGCACATTGACTGGGGTGCTGATAGAAGAGTCATACTCAGTTTATACAGAACGCTTATCCGCTCGAAATTAGACTATGGTTATGGTTGCGTTGCCTATGGTTCAGCAAAGAAATCCGATTTAAAATGCTTGACGCAATCCATCATACCGCTCCGTTGACCTATTGGTTAGAGCGTCTGCCTCATATGCGGGAGGTCGCGGATTCGAACCCCGGCCGAGTCATACCAAAGACTTTAAAAAATGGTACTAACAGCTACCTCGCTTGGCGCTCAGCATTAAGAGGTTAGTGTTAGGACTGGTCAGCCTGGAGTCAGGACAATGTGACTGGGTAGGGCATTATGCCACATGTCTGCGGCATGATGCCCCAGTGCTAGACATCACTATAAACTGTCACACTGCAGACATCGTAGCGATATGACTGAACAATTGTTAAAGCTACGTTAAAAATCTAAATCACACACACACACAGACACAGACACAAACACACACACGCGCGCGTAATCTATCATCAGGGAAGACTTGCCCTGGGAGCATTTAAGACATCCCCGTGTAAAAGCTTGCTCGTTGAAGCGAACGAACCATCTTTATC